ATCGAAAAACATCAAAGCTGCAAAGTTCATAGTAATTTTATATGTTTTTTATTATAATTTCATATATAAAAAAATTATATGTGACATATCGTGTGACTGATATATAAAAACTGGAATTTTTAACTTTAGTATATAGATAACTAGTGTTTCAATCCATAATCTGACAATTTGAATTGATCTGATAATTCGGATTAAATACAGATATCCTAATCTGTTTATTTTAATGGATAGATCTGTAATAAATATCAGATTAAGAATAAGAATTATACGGATCCTTATTCTAGATATATATACTGTGATCTGAATTACTGTAAAATTCGAATGCTACTATAATTCTCCGACAAGTTCACTTCACCAACAGTTTATTTCACCAATAGCTCATTTCGTTGACAAGTTTTTTTTATAAATTACACTAATCTTAACTCTAATTCTAACCTGACAATAACCAGAATTACTTTGTGAAATAAAATAAGCTGTTAGTAAAATAAATTGTTGGTGAAATGAGCTGTTGGTAAATTACAGCTGTTTTCATAATTCTGGGACAGCTAAAAATTTTCTGATGACCAAATCAATAAGCTACCGAGCTGGAATCATAAGCAATATTTCAAGTGTCTCAGAATTTATGAAAGCAGCTTTAATCGAATACTAAAGAAGATCCAAATTTAATCTGAAGTCTTTTAAGAATAGGTTCGAAACACTAAGATACTTAATTACTAGGATTCCCATTATTGAATCCGAATTGAATCCGAATTTGCTAATCCGAATTAAAATTTGAATAAACCGGATATGTTGAAGAGGATCCGAATTTAATCTGAATAACCTTTTGAAAATAGGATCGAAACACTATAGATAACTCATTTTTCTTACAAGATAACCAACTTCCAACTTCTAAGTAAAGTTGTTCAGAGCATGTTTTTACATATATTCATCATTTTAAAATCGAAAAATACTTTATTTTGGAAAAGTTAGATTTTCATTTTGTACAAAATTAGCAAAATTTTAATTTAATTTTTAAGCTTAATTTTTTCTTCTCCCCTTGTTCTATATTTCCCAAAAAATTAATTTAAAAGTTAATAAGTTAGATTTAAGAAGATCTTAGCTCAAAGTTACATAGTAAATTTATATGTTTTTTTGAAAATTTTACTTATAAGCAGCATTTTGATCTATCTTAAGAGGACATGTCCTGGATCTGTTATACACAGATACTAATTTATTTATTTATAAACTTGTGTAATATGCCAATCAAAACAATTTTTACAAAAAAAAATTAAACTCTTGTTTATAGTTAGGGTAAGGGTTAGTTTGGGATTGGGGTAAAAGTAGTTTATACCAAAATTTCACAAAAGAATTTTTTTGTTAGAAGCCAAAAGATGATTTTCTAATCATAATTTTGAAATATTACTTGGTTTTTTTATACCTGTGTGTATACACTACATGTACAAAGAAATTCTCTAAATAATAAATATATTAAAAATTAGTAATTAGTTATTAATAATTGTTAATAAAAAAAATAGAAAATTAATATATAATAAATTATTTAAAAAAAATAATTAAAATATAAAAATAAAATAAACATTTTATTTTAAAAAGTTAAAATAATAAATTTTTAAGAAATTTATAAATTATGTATATTTATATTTAAAAAAATTATTAAATTTATTTTATTTATTTTTTTTTTGAACTAAATTTGTAAGATATGTATTTCTTCTTTTTTTGTTTGAAATAATAATAGATTTATTATTATTTTGATCAGAAAGATCAATTGAAACTCTTCTAAATTCTGTTGATATTTCATTTTCATTAGTTATTGTAATAAAATTATTCATTGCTAATATAAATTTATTATTATTATTTTCATTTGTATTAATATCTTCAAGTATATCATCTTCATCTAATTCAATAATATTATTACTACTAATTTCTTCTCTATCATCTTCATGTTTTTTTTTGTTTGACTTTAAATATGTATTAAAATTATTTGATATTGTTTCAATTGAAGATTTATAATATTGGAAAACAATAATCACATATAAAATTTAAATTATTAAAACATCTAGTATGATATGAATGTCACATAATAAAACAATAATATCTAAATCTATAATATTACAAAATTGTAAATCACATAATTTTTCTTTACTTGGAGGTATATTTGTATGATATCCTGATTGAAGAATTCCTTTTACAAAACTTTTTTCAATTGTTGGAATATAAACCTCAATTTTATTTTTATTATTTTTTCTAACTTTTTCAATTTTAAAATCATTTTGTTTTTAATAAAATTTTGTAAAAAATTTTAAAAGAAATATACTAGTATTAAAAACTAAAGAATCTAATTGAGGTTTAGAAAATAAATATTGTTTTGTTTTTAAAAAATTTGAAACAAATTTATTTTCATGTTTTTCATAATCTATAAAAATTCTATATCTATGAAGAGTTTTTGGATTTGTTAATTTAAATGTAGTACTTCTACATACTAAACTATGAAAATTTTCAACAGGATATTTATCAAGTAAATTTAAATTATTAAAAAATATATTCATTATTAGATGTTGATTTTCATTCCATTGTAAAATATCTGATAAAAAAACAAGCATTATTTTATCATAATTTTTTTAATTACATCTTCACATAAGTATCTATAATCGAAATATTGTTTTATAATAATATTCAAAATAATTATTTTTAAATAAATTTGTATAAATATCTAAAGTTGAAGATATAATATTATCTAAAAGATTTAAAATTGAATAAAAACCACTATTTTTAGAATTTTTAAAAGCTTTAAGAACTTTAAATCTTATTTTAATCCATCTAGCATGTGCAAGATAAAGTAATAAATTTATTTGCCATAGTTTTGGTTTTGCTGCTAAATTTTTTTTTATTAAAAACATCTTTATATAATTTATTAAAAAATGGATGAAATTTAATAACGCATGTTTCTCAAATATTTAATGAAACATGTAAAGGTCCAAGTATAGTCATACCTAATTTATATCACCCCTTTTTTCCAGAGCATTTTTGGTGATATAACTAAGGTGGGATATAACTCAATATATAATCTATATAAAAAAAGGAAATTTATTCTTCTAAAAAATAGGGATATAGCTCAGGTTGGAATATAACCCAGTGGGGATATAACTCAGGTATGACTGTAATGGAACAAAATGATTAATTTCTTTTGGAATATGATTAGAAGATGGATTAAAATATTTATATACAATAAGTTTTCGAATATATAATTGACCAGGAAAATCTATAGGTGTAATAATTATATTATTATTTAATATCTGAAAATTCCATTATATTATTAATTATTTGTAAATAATCATTTGTATTTTTTAAATCAGAATAAATAAAATCAATAAGTTTAGTATTATTAAAATTTCTCATATGTTGATTTTCAAGAGTACCATCATACATATGAACTGATAAAGATTCTATTAAAGATTCAGTTAAAAATGATAAAATATCAGAAATATTTTTCCACTCTAATTTACGACTATTATAGCTAATTAAATTATTATGTAATTTATTAGATAATGCATTATTAAGATGATTGACTGAAATTAATCCAGTTTTAAAAAGAGAATAATTATTTGAAGAAATAAATAGAATTTTTAAAACATTAGGTATACTATTAATTAATGTAGTTTTTATATAACATATTCTACTATTAGAAGTCATAGTTGGAAGTCTAGTTTGATGACAGTCATGGTAATTATCTATATTAATAATAAAAAGACTATTTAAATTATTTTGTAAATAGTTTTGCATATATATTATATGATTTTTTTCTAAATCTATCATATTTGAATATAATTTTGAATAGCTTGAAATATATCCAAAAGATAATAATAAATTAATTACTCTTTTTGAAAGTCCAGCTTAAAGTAAAAAACTTCTAATTGAATTTTTTACATTTGTAATTTTATTATTTTTTAATCCAGCTAAATGATACATTAATATCATTATTCTAATTTTAAGTTTTTTAATAGATTTTGAACTTTGATCTTTAGATTTAAATGTATTACAAAACATTAAAACAAATGGTTCTAAATTAGAAGAATTAATTATTTTTATAAAATCATTTGAGTTTGTAGGTGGAAAACAGTTTTCTTCATATTGTTTTTTATATAATAAATTAAATAAATTATTAATATTATTATTAAAAATATTTAAAAATAAATTCATAGATAGATTTTTAATTCTGATTCTAAAGAAATAATTTTATTATTTAAATTAAAAATTTCATTATTATAATAGGTTTTAAATTTATAGTTTCATTATTATAATTATCTTTTAAATTTAATATTTTATCATTATAATAATTTGTTAAATTTAAATTTTCAACTTTATAATTATCAATTATTTGATTATAATTATTTTCTAATTTAAAAATTTCAGATTTATTATAATTTTTTAAATTTAAAATTTCATTTTATAATGTGTTTTAATATTTAAAATTTCATTTTCATAATATTTTTTTAAATTCAAAATTTCAGTTTTATGATTTTGTAAAATATCAATATGATATTTGTCTTTTAAATTAGAAATTTCTGTTTTATAATAATTTTTTAATTTTGAAATTTCTATAGAATTATTATATTGAATTGCAGAAATATTATTTTTAAGATTTTCATTTATATGTTCTAAATTATTAATTTCAAGAATAAGCTAACTTTTTTCAAATTCTAATCTCATAGCATCTTCTTTATATTGAATTAGTTCTTGAAAATACATGTATATCAACAGAAATTTTTTAGGCTGAGCAGAATATTCTGAATTCATTATATATTATAAAAAATAATATAAAATAAAAAAAGTACTTTGTTTGCTGATGAAGTGTATTATTTTTGCTGATGAAATAAAAGTGAATCAGCTAAGCTGACTTTTAAAAAAGAAGACAAAATTAAAAAAAATTAAAAAAAACAATTTATGATTTATATTAATACATCTTTGAAATTAATCTAATTAAAAACTATTTCTAAAAATATTTCTAACTAATCTAAAAAAAATTTTTACAATCATTTTTCCTTTTTTTCTCAACAATCATTTTTCTAAAAATATTTACTAACGGCAATATTTTTAGCTAACTTCCCGAATTTCCTACCAAAATTAGTTATTTAAAAATCTAATTTAAGCTTAACCTCTAGTATCGTTCCAAAAGTATCTAAATTTAAAATTGATTTTATTAGAGTTTTAAAAGTGTTCTCAAGCATTTCAATGATAATTCTTAAGCATTACAATTAATAATAATATTTATAGAGTACTCTTATAATCTTTACAATGCTTTATAAAAAAAATTTTTTTTATTCAACCAGCTGCCGAAGCTTTAACTTTATTTCACTAGCTTTACAAATTAAATTTTTGTTGCAGAAGTGACAAACGAAAAAGTTATAACTTATATATACCTTAAAAACAGAATGTTAGTATTCATTATAGTTTAATAATTAAAGGTTAAAATATGGGTTACATTTATTATATTTATATTAGTGTATTGATTATTTGCTTTAAAAACTTCAAACTTTAAAAATAAAGTAGTTATTTTTTTAAATCGGTCAAAAATGTAAGAGTACTACTTGAGCATCTTTATCAAAGGCAAATTTTGAAGAAAAAAAAAAGTTCAATTTCTGATTATTAAAATTTGTCTCCGATTTATTAGTAAGATGATTTGAGACATTCTTAAGTTTAAATATTTTTTTATTTTAGTAAATGTTGCAGATCATAATGAAACGAGTATTTTTATTAAACTTTTTAAAACTTGTTTATTATAAACTCTACCCTAAACTAACATCTAAATCTAACTCTAAAAAATATACCTCCAAAATTTTTATTTCTTGATGGCCCTTATATTGTACAATATTTATTTTAATCTGCCACATTAAACACTTATTTATTAAATAAAATACATGTATTAACAATATGCTATAGTAGTTTCATATGTGCTGGCAAAAATAAAATTTTAAATGTTAATTTTCTGGAAGTGATGATCTTTCATTTTAGTCAGCATAAATTTTCATATAATTATAAATTGGAAATATAATGTATTAGTATTTGTAATATATTAAAATCAATTGAATATATTAAATAAAATCTATAATTATTTCAAATTTCTATACTTCTTAATTTTATGAGATTTCATGAGATTCTAGGTTTGATATGTAAGATCACATTCTTTATCTACAGCTCTGTTTTGCAAAATAATATAGTGAAAGTCTGTATGAATACATTCTGCTTCATAAATTTCACACAGATTATCTAAAATGTTTAAAATATATTAATTTTTATAATGTCTAAACATGAATTAAAATAGTTATAATTCAATAATCACCTTACTAGTATTTCAGTATTTGAATATTTAAAATAATTTTGTAGCCTAGTAAATGGTTTAGCCCACTTTATATGATTGCTGCCAGGTTGCAAAAAATCTGTCACTAGTCTTTTAAATAAGGTCTTGAGTGCAACAGCGCTAAATAGTTCATGTGATCTTATTACGTAATCCTGTTTTTCTTAATCATCTAACCAGAATACAAAAAAAATATATAGAGAACTCTTTCACTCTATGGAATCTACTTAATTAATATTCATCATATATTATATAATAAAAGTTTATATTAATTCAAATCACCTGGTAGCAATAATCATAATCCAGCTGATAGATCTAACACGAATCACTTGGGTGATTTATAATTTCAACCTCAAAAAAATAAGGAATCCGAAGTTATGCATAAAGTTTTTACCTTTATTAAATTCATGTGCTTGGATTCTCGTCTAGCTTCTAGTTGCAAAGCGGCTAAAAATTTGAATAAGTTTGTCAGATCTTACATTTATATTAAGGATTCGCAGGATTTTAAACATTTGAACGAAAGTGTCAAGAAAAAAATTTTATTTATACTGGCTACAATATAATAATTTATATTATATAATTAGAAATTCTACTAAGGATTCACAATGCAGAAGGATGCTCTCCTCATTAGGGTGTGTAACGGCCTATTAAAATCAAACATAGGCAGGGTCAATAATGATCATCACTAATTGCAGATTTTCTAATGGAATTTTGGGTTTACTTAAAACCATGATCTCAAAAACAAATCCCAATAGTATCAAAAATTGCTTTTGGAATTTTGGTATCAGAATTCTGAGATTTATTATTATTTTAATCGTTATTTAAATCAGTAAAATTTAGTATTATTTTAATCGTTACTTAAATCAACAAAATTTATTATGTATTTTAATCATTATTTAAATAAAATTTTAATATTAATTAAAAATTTGCGAGTTTGATTTTTATACTTCTTAAAGAAAACATGCCAAAATGAACTAAACATTATAATCAGCAAAACTATTTAAAAAAAGCCCATAAAAAAATTAATAATAAAGATTTAATTGAATCTAATACTACAGATTCTGCAACTATTAATGATGCAAATAATATATTATTTTCATCAATTTCTACACAAACTGAATCTATTGTTAATATAGTTGCTATACAAACTAAATCTATTGTTAATACAGTTGCTACACAAACTGAATCTATTGTTAATACAGTTGCTACTCAAACTGAAGTTATTATTTTACAATCTAATAAAATTCAAGTAAATCAAACAAATCAAACAAATTCAAAAGTTTCAATTACTTAATTTATTTAATCAAATTACTCAAATACTAACTTATAATTAAAAGTATAATTCAAAGTTATTAGAAATACAGCAAACATTTTTAAATTATATTATACAAACAGATTATAATGAATTGTTATTAGCTTTTTCTTTAATACAGACTATGCAATATAAAAAAGTCAAAATATTGGTAAAATTTTTTCAAAATGTTTACAACAAAAAGCAGTAAATTATGTAGAAAATTCTTTTTATCAAACAGAACATGATATTAATAAATGCAGTACTACAATAAAATCTTTAGAAAATCAAATAAATAGTTTAACAGATCAATTAAATAAAATTAAAAGTGAAAATAGATCATTAAATAGTAAAATTAGTAAGTTTAAACAAATTCGTAAATAGCAAATATCTAAATTATGCTCTAATGCTTCTAAAATTAAAATTGTACTAAAAAAGAATTAAAAACTGCAATTAAACAAAAATTAATGGAAAACAAATCTCAATATACAGCAAAAACAGTACAAATGGCAACAAAAATTTGTCAAATTGGTAAAATATTATATAGATCTGCTGTAGAATGTTCTAAAGCAGTAGTTGAATGGCTTATAGATGAGGAATCTGATAAATGGTTTTCAGTAAAAACTCTTACTGGATGGCATAAAAATGTTGCAACAATTTATTCTAATCAACAAATAAATATAATTGACAATTCTAAATTTTCAGCTTATGGAATAATGGCTGATGAATCTAAATGAGGTGATAGTAAAATTTTTTTAATATGTTTTATTTATTGGAATTCAAATACAAATTTTCCACAAGCAACTTTATTAGAAATGAAAGATATATCAAATTGTAGTGGATCTACTATTACTAATAGAGTTGCTGAAACTTGTAATACTTATAAAATAAATCCTAAAAATTGTTTTACTTGGATAACTGACAATACTAACTATATGTCAGGTTATTAAGGTGGTGCTGTTACATTATTTAATAACAAACCATTATCAAATTCATTTTGAATATCATGTGGTATGCATTCAGCACATCTTATAATAACTCATTTTG